TTTATTAAAATCTTCATTCTTTAAAAAGCGAGTCATCATCTTCTCATTCTTCACCATAAAAATGACTTCATGTCGATTTTCTTCGAGCTTGAACGAGACGATCTTTTTCCCAAAAACCTGCTAACAAAAAACCAAATGACAAAAAAATGAAATGAAACACCTGGAATCATCCTTTTTTTTTTTGGTTCGATTGACATATACAGAACTTCTTCTTACCCCCTTGAGAACCGAATGTATATAAGCCATCACTTCGGAGGATGTCACGAGCACATTAACAACGAATAAACCGTTATCAGAAAGGGAGTTGTTCACGTCCTGAAGAAAAGAATCATCGAAAAATTCTTTAGAAGGAGCCCGAAAGTGATCACTTGTGTCTCGTGACTTCACATCAACTATAAGTATGTCTAGTTTTCGAGATGATTCTCCTGCAAGAAATGCAGCACAACCATTTATTAGTAACTTGTAGTAGATGATCGAGCATATTATTATTTGTTGGTGCAACCTATATATTTGTATATAGTATATATAACTTTTTTGGTTACCTGCCACAGAATCTGCTTCCTCCTGAATTCCATCACTTATATGTAGCTGAGAAATATTCGTTACGATGTCTGCATGAAATGCAGCACAACCATTTATTAGTAACTTGTAGTAGATGATCGAGCATATTATTATTTGTTGGTGCAACCTATATTATATTTATATATATATATATATATATATATATATATATATATATATATATATATATATATATATATATATAATATAAATTTTTGGTTACCTGCCACAGGATTTGCTTCTGCCACAGGATTTGCTTTCTTCCCGACAAACTGAATTCCATCATCTATACGTACCTGAGAAATATTCATTACGATGGAAACCATACTTTGATTTTAGTTTTTAGTGAAAAACAAAAAAACTCAGGATATTGCAAATAATAAAAAACTACATTATATTTTACCTCTAAGCGTTGATCTTGTGCAAAACCGAAATGTTGTTCAGCAATATTCAAAACCACAGGATCTCGCTCAACAACCTGTCAAATTAAGAACTTGCATGCATGAGAACAAATAGTAGAATCAAAAAAAGGTACTCAATATTTTTCATTATATATACCACAATTTTTAGAGGTAACCGATTCTTCATAAACATAGGCAGCAATCCTGCTCCAAGACCTATAACCACTGTCTCCATCTGGAAAATTAAAGGGAAAAGCCACCATCAGTTTAGCGTTTCCTCCTTGTTCGGCAATTTATTATAAAGTAAACAAGAGAATGTAGATGGATTACCATGGGGGAACTGGTGGAGCTAGATACTTTCTGCAGATGGGGGAAGAATAGCAACAAGCCAGAAATAATCACATTGTACGTGCTTGCCAAATAATCGTGATTAACTTTCCTATCACCACTTGATGCTTTGGGATTTCTACTTCCTAGTAAGAAAGTGCATCAATTTGCATCTCAAGGAAACTTGTCTGCGTTGCAAATAGTCTACAATAATTTATTTGCCTAGTATACATCTAAAAGAGATAACCAAGAAAGAGCACAAAGCTGACCCTCAGATATCTTCTGCTTTCCTTTCTTCTTCTTCCTGGTTTTTGAAGCTCCCTGCACTTTGTTTACGTCTAACAGAGCTTCAGATTGTACCACTGCCTGGGGTTTTAGGAAAATAAGGCGGCGGAAAACCAGATCATCATTATCCTCATAACGGTTCTTAGGGGAGATCACTTCATCTACAATTATTGGTCCCGTCAAATCAGATGTAACCTGGACAAACCAAACCAAAGAAATATCGAAAATGAACTTGGGGACACATATTTGCATTTCAGAAAAATAAAATAAAAATATTAGAGATCTTGTAAAAGATCCAACCTTGTAAACAATATCTCGCTGCTTCAATTGAATAGTAGCAGTATTTACAAACCTGAATAAAGATCCATTTCATAAGCTTCAACTTGAAACTTGACTGCCATTATCCAGAACAAACTATGGTCTTCAAGTTCAGACATAAACTAGCACATATAAGACTGTAACTATTTCCAAAAAAGACAGACAGATGCAAAACAATAATGGTTCTTAGTGATGAAAACTTGTATGGTACAAAACATAATACACAACAGTGATGTTGATATCACTTTTTCAAGTGTAAAACACACACACTAGAAGAAAGCAAGATCCAAAGGAACTACACAAAATAAATTTACTATTTGATATCCTATATATGGATAATAGCTGCTGATGAGCACTTACATAATTGGATCTCCAACAGGAAAATCTCTTGGAGCCAATGGCTGGGCAAGACGAGTGACTTCCGCCTGAAACAAAGGGAAACCAAAATTTTAAGAAGCCATCAAATGTAATGGAAGCCAAAATTTTACAGCTACTGAAAATAAAGTTGGATATTACCTCGAGAGTCTTCGTGTCAAAAACATCTATATCATGACTGGAATCCAGTAAAATCTAAAACAATCCAAATAATTGTATAATTAAAAAGATGAGATGCAAAAAGATAAGCTAAAGGAAGAAAATAAAATAAGTTTATCCATGCAGAAAAGATCTTACTATCAGTAGTCTACTAGCCTCCGAATTTGCGGCAGCACGTATTTGTCCTTGTTTGTTTGAGAAGAGCCATTCATCAACTCGAGTCTGAAATTGAAAATTTAGTCACATGACAGTTGGCTATAAAATAATTTAAATAACCCATCACTTACTATTGGAACTATGTATGCAGCAAAGTGATGTAAGAAAGGCCTTGATGGATCTTGCTCAGCATCAACAAGTACAGCCTTATAAAAAATGGGGTCACCAGGTTCACCTAAAATAAGCTCTATCGTACGACCTGGTTCGCACTTTTTAAGGCTTTCAAGATCCAGTTGTTTGACTGTTTTTAAGGCTAACATACTTGCTCGAATTGCTTGTTCGGTAAAAAATGCCGTAAAGAATACTGCAACCTAAAACACATTGAAAAGGTTAATTAAATCCCATCCTACAAATATAACCGTAAACAATATGTTGAATTTAACTTGCAAAGAGCGTTGAAACCACTCAGATTAAAGCATCTGATTAACAAGTACGTGAGTAAATATTATTTGGTATCCTGACCAAATGCATGTGTGATTTTAGTTTCGTCAAAAACGCTTCAAGTTATTTCATTCATAGAGAGAGTAAAAATGCTTTTACCCGATCACGATGAGAATTAGGAGAGTAGGTATCCACGACAAATGTCATCAAAGAAACAGAAGCACAACTATCTTTCTCAACAACAAACATAAATGTCTGCTGTTTTAGTTCTTCAGACGGAATCGGATGAACAGTTATTTTCCATCCAAACCGGAATTGCGTGAGAAGTAAATCTGAGGAAAAAATATATATGATGGAAAAGATATATACATATCTTTACATTCACCAAAAAGAATAAAAGAAAATGAAGACAATACCTAACGCATTTTGTTCTGCAAAGGTGATACAAATAAATTTTCCGCCAGTTTTTAAAATTCTGTTTACCTGGTAATGCACAAAATAAATGCTGGAAATTTAGGTGAAATGAAAGAATGAGACCTTTTTTAAGAAGCTATTGTATGCATCACTTTCGATAATACATACCGCATCAGTATACGACGACCCCGATCCTGTATACCCAACGTCAGGCAACATTAGTGCATCGTATACACCCATTTCCACGATGACATCGAAGCTTTCATCTGCAAACTGAACCATTTGCAATGTTTATTTAGACGAAGATAATTAAAAAAAAAATTATAAAAATAAAAAAAAAAGGAGGAAAAAATAGAGCAGAAACAGCAATTATTACCTTAAGCTTCCAATTCTCGTAAATCTCTATAGAAACCTTCTGATTCTGAATGAATTCGTCGTCAGGAGCAATCAAGTTAGAGAAATCCAGTTTCGTTATGTTTGTAAACCCAGCAGCAGACAAATTCTCGCACAATTTCTCACTCCCACACAAGATTGATAAATCGGCTGCTTTTACGGGCTCTCCGTCGGATGCCGGCAGTAAGGATGAACGAGTGAGGAGCTGATCCTTGAGTAGGCTCTCGAATTGGGGCCACTTAGGATACAAGCTGTCTCTAATGCTTAGAGTTAGGAGCAATTCCTCGCTCTGACTAAACATTTTTCCTATGGCAGTACAGTAATCTCAGTCAGTAATGAAATCATTAAACTAAAACCCTGCCCAATAAAAGCATGAAAGCAAACAGAAAAGAGTGGGCATATATATCTCATTCAATGTCTAAAGAGTGATGATCTCTCTCCCCTATGATTTACAACTGTCTTGATCGACTATTTATTTTACACTTGCAAGATTTCTATTTTGTTGAACTACAGAATATTCTATTTGTTTTTTTCCACGTCTCTAATGCATAATGTTTTTTCCAACTTACTTTGTGGCAATCCTTGGTTTGAAACAAAAATTCAAGACCTCAATAAGATGCAAAGCAAGTAATTCCAAAACACCTTTAATAGTAATGATCATGTAAGCAAAATGAAATGCAGAAAGGACACAGAAAACTTCATCAATAACTTAAGAAGCAAATAACTATCACATCATTAGAAACAAGTGCAGTAATAGTACTAGGTCTATGAAAAACAGCGAGCGAATATGAACAACAACGAGAATATGTATACTAACTACGACGAACGAATGCTTAAAACTTGAATGATACAGAATACATATAAACTTTTCTGCATGAAAGCAAACAGATTAACAATTCTACTGTCAATTCTCAATCTATTTATAAAGTTCACCATCAATTTCTATAAGTTCATCTCAATTTTCAAAAACTTCACTCACAAGTCACAACTCAACTATCCGAAATTTACTCAAAATAAATTGATAACATCGAATATATTTTATTTTAATTCAAACAAATCTAGTAACTATGTTTTTTTTGATAAGTAACAATCTAAAACAATATTTCAGTTTGTATGCAGTGCTGAATGCTATATCTAACTCAAAAACATCTGTCACCCAAAAATTCCACTCGTCCAAATCTGCCACTATTTAAGTATACATACATCTCTTGACACTCTTTGAATTTCACACACACACACACACACACACACACACTCACAGCCACCGACTAGCCACCGTCAATGGCGGAGCAACACCACAACCAGCATCACACCGACGACGTCATCCCTAGCCACCTCCCCGACAAGAGTCCCTCCACCTCTCAAAGGACTATTCGAAATATCTAAATTAGAAACAAGTGCAGTAACTCTCATTGTCCGACCAATGTAATTATCTAAATTATTGCAAATAGTTTTAATAATATGCTTCTTGCGGGTTTCACATTTTCTCTCTTCTCTCTCTCTACACGACACATGAGACTATGCAGATCTACGGCCACAAAAGTTTACATACACAGAACAAAAGTTTATATGTATGCTTATGTATGTATATGTGTATGTATATGTCGATACACACAGATTATTTAATTAACATTTCACATAAATCAAACGAAGCAAGTATATATCGATGATATATTGACGAGAAGGAATTGTGTTCATATTCTCACACAATCGATACAATCAAACAAACGAAGCAAGTATATAACGATGATAATTGACGAGAAGGAATTGTGTTAATGATTCTCACCAAGTCGTTCCAATGAATCTATCCCCGTGAAAAGTTCACACAATTGACGAACGACCAATTGGAAAAGAATTCTTCCCTTCTGATAGGCGGTTTTCTCTCCTTCTGAGAGGTGGTTTGGACGATCTTCTCGCTCTGTTTGGTTTGAGATGAGGGTTTGAAACGAGGGAAAATGAAAATGCAAAGACGGAAAATGACACTAAAATATAGTTTGGACGATCTTCTCTCCACTCTACGCTCTGTTTGGTTTGGAATGAGGGACACGAAAATAGTTTGGACGATCTTCTCCAATCTACGCTCTGTTTAGTTATAATAAAGGGTAAATTACAGTCAGGTCCCTGAGGTATGCTACAATAACTTTAAGGCCCCTGTAGTATTGGTAATTACAATCACACCCCTGAAACATAGTAAAAAATCGTAATGTGATATTGCATTGTATAGATCATTCCGTTGGGGTTCTAACGGACTATTAGTTTCAGGCATTGGTGGAGACAACATTGAGCTAGGGGCTAATATTATCCATCTAATATTTCTTAAATCCTTAATATTTTATATAAAATTTAAACGATTTGGTCTATGGTAGTATTAAGCACCCTGCATAAAACAAATATAGTGCATATCGGCCTCCACGACATAAAATCTTGGCTCGGGTAATTTTTTTAGGGGTGTGGTTGTAATTACCGATAGCACAGAGACCTTAAAGTTATTTTAGCATATCTCAGGGATCTGAGTGTAATTTACCCTATAATAAAATAGTGAAAAGCCGCGGCTATATGTAAGCCCACAAATTACCTTGTGCAAGACCAAACCATAAAAAGACTATTTTACCCTTAATCAAAACCACATAAAAAAAATAAAACATAAAAAACTCACATATTCCTTTGTGCAAGACCAAATAAATCAAACACACACAAACCCACCCACAAACACTCTCATTATTACACAAACACAAAAAAAAATTATTTCTTCTTCTCCTTCCATAAAACCCACCAAGAACTCACAAACCTAAACAATCAAATACCCACCAAACATCCACAATGGAGTCGGAAAACAACGAGATGATGGTTTATGAGGGTGGAGAACACAATGAGGTATGTTTTAACCGTTTATTTTAGCTTCTTTGTCGTTTTTTACGTTGTCCAAAACAAAAAAAAAAAATCGCCGCCGCTAAAATTCAGCGCGTACAGACCGAATTTTTCAAACAATTCGGGACGAAAGCGCAAAAATTTGTGAAACAATCGGTGTCTAGCCAAACACTGAATTTTCTCCCGAATCTCGGCGTCATAGTGCCGAATTGTGGTAAAATTCGGACTTTACGCGCCGAAATATGCCTGCATCAATTTATTTTTTTAAGACCATTTTCCTCACTTTCTTGCAGCAACAAAGGGATTTGATTGAGGATTACTCAGATGAATTTTCCACCGTTGAGATATTTGAGACACGAGAAGCTCTAATTGATTGGGTTAAGCAAGTAGGTAAACGTCATGGGATGGTGATAATCATTGGTATTTCAAATCCGGGACTCAAAGGGCGTAGAAGACCGTATGTGGTACTAGTATGTGAGCGTGCGGGTGAGTATCGTGGGAAGAAGAAAGCCGGTGAAGGAAAGGGAAAGAGGCAGAAGGGTTCCAAAAATTTCCAAAAATTAATACGTGAATGATGATCAGTAGATTGACATTGTACTATTATTTTTCTAATTAACACGTATCTTCTAAAATTTGAGTTTTGTATTTTAATGTTTGTATTTTTTGTGATGCGTGTATTTTTGTGATGTTTGTATTGAATGATACCGTCACTGATGTTTTTAGAATACTCTAAGTGTCGAAATTACAATGCCGTAGGTCAAAATCCCACATTTGTGTAGTTATGTTTTTTTTTTTGATAAAAAATCGAAAAAAATTCGCGCCGTAGGTCAAAATCCGCGTTCTTACCTACATAAACCTTGTATTGGAGTACACAAAGTGTCAAAACTATAAAAACGAAAAAAACTCAAAGAATCGAAAAAAAAGTTGATGCAGCGGTATTTCGGTGTGTGCGCGCCAAAATCCCACATTTGTGTAGTTAAGCTTTTTTTTTTGTTTTTTGAAAAAAAAATCGAAAAAAATATCGCGCCGTAGGTCAAAATCCACGTTCTTATCTACATAAACCTTGTATTAGAGTACTGGAAGCACCAACTTCCGCGGTCGAAGACGCCGATGGTGCATTTGGTTGGCTACTCGAAGCACCAACTTCCGCGGTCGAAGACGCCGGTGGGGTGGGTAGAGCCGGTACGGGATCCGTAGAAGCGGTCGGCGTACGGCGTTTTCTTGGCTTGTTCGCCTTTTTCTTGTGAGCCAATTCCTTTCGTCTACGGGTGGAGGCGGTATATGGTACGTCTTTAGTCACTGCAAAAAAAGTAAAAGCAAAGCATCTATTATTCAAAATTTAACATTAAAAAAAAAGTTAATTCAACAAAACTTCGGCGCTTTAGCACCGAGATTTTGACAAAACTCGGCGTGCGCAGCATAGCGCCGATTTTTGTCAAAATCTCGGTGCCACAACGCCAAAATCTTTCCTGTTTTTATAAAATGGAATATTTGTCTAGTCGGGTATTTAACTAAGAAAATTGTATTATTAATTGGACTTGCACTAAAGAATTATTCACAATGGGTTTGCACAAGGTAATTTGTGGGCTTACAAATAGCCGCAGCCATTGTGAAATGATATAATATTGAAAAAAAAATTCTTTTCTTTTTCGAAAACAAAAAGATTATTTTTTTTTTCTCAATCCAAAATGAGTTGCATATATGTATAAGCGGTTGATATTTATTTGCAGTACGGTAATGACTCTGTAGTACGAAATTTCTCATTTGTTAGAAAATAAAAAACCAAACACTCTCAAAACTTTCTCAACCTAATAAACTATAACTTCACTAATTTTTGATTTTTTTGGCTGAAAAACCTGAAACGAAGCAAGAATTAACGAAGCACCGAGATTTTGACAAAATTCGGCGTGAGCAGCATAGCGCCGATTTTTGTCAAAATCTCGGTGCCAAAGCGCCGAAATCTTTTCATGTTTTTATAAAAGGGCATATTTGTCTAGTCAGGTATATATCTAAGAAAATTGTATTATTAATTGGTCTTGCAGTAAGGAATTATTCACAGTGGGTTTGCACAAGGTAATTTGTGGGCTTACAAATAGCCGCAACCATTGTGAATTGATATAATATTGAAAAAAAAATTCTTTTCTTTTTCGATTTATTTGCAGTACGGTAATGACTCTGTAGTACGAAATTTCTCATTGTTAGAAAATAAAAAACAAAACACTCTCAAAACTCTCTCAACCTAATAAACTATAACTTCACCAATTTTTGATTTTTTTGGCTCAAAAACCTAAAACAAAGCAAGAATTAACAATATGGATGCTAATAACGACGCTAATGAGATAAAAATCATTCGATTCGGCTGAAAAAATCAACATTCGGTTTATTCCGCGCCGAAATGCCCGGAGCAAACAGGTTAGTCCGGGTGATACTACCCGGAGCTGTTCCGGGCAGTTAAACCCGGCATGATCTGTTTAAATGCCCGGAGTGGCGTTACGGGGTAAACGGCGCGGAAAGATACAGTTACACCGGGCTTTATTGCCCAGACTAGCATTACGGATGATGAAGCGCGAAACAACAGTGTTATTCCGGGTAGTAATACGTGGAACAACATAGTTACTCCGGGTTACGAAACGTGGAGCCACGAGAAGTGGCAAAAAATGAATATTTTTCCGATTTATTTTTTATATTATGAATCTACATGTTATAAGGAACATTTTGAAATATGTAAGATTACCTCGTATTTGTTGATGAATCGATGTCAGATACCCGATTGAAGGTGATGTGATTCGAGAGAGTTTGTGAATTGTGAACAGTTTTTTGATATTATGTTTGAAATTGTACTGCAAGGGGTAAATAGTGTACTTCAAGTAGTATTCCAGATATATAAAATAAAATGCAAAAAGAAACTGGAGTCCAAAATTAAAAAGAAAAAAAGAGAAAAAAAGAACTGTAAACATATTTTAATTTGGCCGCGGCTATATGTAAGTCTACAATTTACCTAGTTCAAAATCACTATAAAGGATTACTTTATTGAAGACCAATTAATACTACAATTTCATTAGTTAAATACCCGAGTAGACAATTATACCCTTTTACAAAATTAAACCTAATACACACATACAAACCTTTCAATTCTTTCAAATTGATTTGTGCAAGACCAAGAAAAGAAAAAAGAAAAAGAAGAAGAACGGGAGAGGCGGGAGAGAAAAAAGAGGAAAAGAGAAATCGCCGTCCACCACCATCCAACACCGTCCACCGCCGTCCACCGCATCATCGCCGGACTTCACGTGGAATTCCGCCGTCCGCCCTCATCACAATACATCAATCACCCAAGCAACGGCTACAAATAAGTTTTCAAATATTTTTTTGAATTTGAAATTTCTTCAAAACTTTGTAAAATGATATAATGTAGTATTATTTATTTATAAATATGGATGTTGAGCAATGATTAATGGTTTTTTGTTGATTTGGGGTTCAATTTTGACAATGAAATCAACTGTGAAAAAATCGGCGTTTACACGCAAAACGCCGATTTTTCCAAAAAAATCGACCTTTGAGTGCTGATTTTTTTGGAAGTGACGATTTTTTTTCTTTATATAAAAACCACACTCAAGCCAAGATAAACGGTTAAACCATATTTAATTGTGTTCTTCACCCTCATAAACCACCATCTCCTTATTTTCCGACTCCATTGTCAATATTTGGTGGGTATTTGATTATTTGGCTTTGTATGTTTCTTGATGAAGGAGAAGGAGAAGGGTTGCAGGTTGTGAAATGAAGTCATGAATGGGTTTGTGGGTGGGTTTGTGGGTGAGTTTGATTTATTAGGTCTTGCACATAAGAAAATGCGAGTTTTGTATGTATTATATTTTTATTTGGTTTTGAATTTCATTAAGGGTAAAATAATCTTTTTATGGTTTGGTTTTGAACTAGGTAAATTATGAACTTACATATAGCCGCATCCTTTTAAGCAATGTTATCGGATTAGAAATATATCGTATATCGTTTTCCTCCACGTATCGTATCGTATCGTATCGTATCATACGGTATTTAACCGATCATTGAAAATAGTACAAAACATATATCTACACAATAAAAATATTATAACATGCGAATTTTAATATTTTAAAGTAAAATCACTCATTTCAAAATAGATCTAAATCCAAATTTCAACATTACACTATAAAATAAGATAAAGTTATATTGCTCATCGTATAACATCATCAAAGTTCAAATTTCAATCACTAAATTCTAAAAAATAATCAATTACTCATCATGTTGAAGACCCATATCACTTAAATCTTTCTCATATACCATAAATAGTACTAATTAACAAACCTCAAATCGCAAGAACCCACATCAAATTGACGAACCCACCGTAAATTCAAACTAACCCAGTAGAAATCGTACTTCAATTGATGAAAGTCACTCTTGAATCGCGAAAAAAAACTCTAGGTTCGAGTTGGGGTTGCTTGATTTAAATTGGGCTGCTAGAGTTCAAATTTTTGAAGAAAATTGAAAAGAATATGAGTATTTTCGAATTAGGGCTGCTAGGGTTTCAATTGTTGAAGTAAATTGAAGAGGAATTGGGTATTGGATGATCAAATTGTGTCTTCTTTGGGCAAGAATCTTAAATTTCATTTTTTTTCCCTTCTGTTTAGAGCTGGGTCGGGTCGGTCATGGTCCATTTTCATTAGATGACCAATTTGATAAATACCGTATATCGCAATACGACGATACGGTACGATATAAAACGATATCGTATGTTATTTTAGGAGCAACAGTACACATGTCGATCCGTATCGTTTCAATGTGTACTGGACCATATCGTGACATATCGCGATATACCGCGATACTGATAACACTGCTTTTAAGTTTTAACCCCACCCTTTTTTCTCTTTATTTTCTTAAATTTACTCCGACGATGGCAAGAGAAAAAATACACAACTATCTCTCTGAAATCAAATTATTGAATCAATAGGATAATTTTGACCGGAAGGTCCTCAAGTAGATAAAAGATGGAGAGGTTGATGGCACCGCGACGGAGATTTTTTGTGTAAGTGGCGACAGAGAGTTTGCTCGGAGGTGAAGTGGTTGATGCGGCAATCGGTAAAGAAAAACAAGAGAGAGAGAGAACGAGAAAGAAATCAACACCTCACACCATCCTCGCCGTCGCCGTCCATAGCCGCCGCCGCCGGCCACAAACATCGCCAGCGTCCACAACCAACCAACAGTGCCGCCGTCATCCACCATTACAAGTAACTTTTTGAAACTTAAGCTTATGTTATTGAAAAAAAAAGGTTAAATCGATGATTTCTTGTTAAATAGATGAGTTGTTGTTGAAATATTGTTTATAAGTGACATTGAACATGATTTTGTGGATACATGTTGAAGTAACGGCCGATTTTGTTGGTTTACTGTCGACCCCAACAAATCGCCAAGTTTAGGGTGACTTTTCGTGACCCCGTCGACACGTACTTGTCGATAACGAAAAGATATTCGCCAATTATTTTGTCAACAAATAGAATAAATCGACAAGAATATGGCGATATCATATGTCATTATCGACAACTACCTTGCGTATTTTGTTGCCGGAAATATGTCGATTTATGTTTATTTTTTGCCATGTACCTAGCAATTTTTTTACTTGAATTTTTGTCCACTTTATTATTTTATTATTATTATTAGAATGTTATAATATATTATGTTATTTTTTTGTGGAACTTTCAGTGGACCCCACTAACCATCGGTTGCCTCCAACTGTTTACAATCGCAAGAGGAAGAGCAAGGCACTTGCCGGTGGCTCTAGTGCCCCTATCCGTCGTTCTCGTCGGACAACTCGCGATGAAGACGCCACCTCGCGACCCGACAATTCTCAAGCACCGTTAACGACTGTAGAGGCTCCTCCGGTTACTGAAGTTGGTGGATCTAATAGCCAATCGGCTCAAGGTTATAGACGGTCATTTGCTTTTGGCCTTTATCGAGCGATGGCAACCAAGCACTTGTACATTTCATTTGTCGTTGGGGGAGATGACAATCACGCTAGATAACGTTAACGCCTTAATAGGTCTGCTGGTTGTCGGACTTCTTGTGCAGATTTATTGTGAAATTCGGTATAGCAGAGAGAATCTAGATACGATGGTGACTCGCATTCTCAGAATGTCACCGGGATCAAATGAGGATGGTTGGGGGCCATCGAACAAATCCCTTAAGCTGAAGTGGTTGCGTGAAAAGTTTAGTGGAGTGAGAGAAAGACATAGTCGGGAAAGAAAGTAAGGTGCGACGAGGACGTATTTGTTGGCTATATGTTAGTTGATTTTGAATGCTATTGAATTATGTTGGTTATGTTGAATTATGTTGGATATGTTGGCTATGATGAATTTTAGATAGGTACCTTCTGGTCTAAAAAAATTATGTTGCATATTTGTCGTAACCAAAACAAGCTTAACACGAAAAATTGCACCAACGTTCTATTGACAGGTAACCAATGTTGCATATTTTTTGTTGTCTTTTACTGTTTTTTAATTCTTTCCTTTTTTTTTCTTTTGTATGAAATTTAGGTTTACATACATGCTGGAGTGTTGGAAACATTATAAGAAATTGATACTATCAATTCCATTAAAAAAAAAGAACAAAGTTGCTCACAAAAAAATTCGATGGTAGATTTTTTGTAACGCCCCGGATTTCTCAACCTGGTTCGTTAGTCCACCTACTGGCCCACTGGGCACTGGGGCAACCACGGGCCTACCACAAGCCCACCCCAAAAGTCCATGGAAAGTATTGGTACCCAGTAGTAGTAGGGGATTTGCTTATAAACTCAAATAGAGTTTCATATTATCCCGATCTGGGAAGGGGGGATTTGCTTATAAACTCAAACAGAGTTTCATATTATCCCGATCTGGGAAGGGGGGATTTGCTTATAAACTCAAACAGAGTTTCATATATCCCGATCTGGGACGGGGGCGTGACATTTTTTTTGACAGGTATCTCTCAATTTTCAGCACAACTATAGACAGGTACCCGTCGATGGAAATATCAAAATATATTGTGACGTACAATTACTACATATTTTACAAACGTTCAACATCATCATCATCATTACTCGATATTTCATAAACACTCTCTTGAAGTGCTACCTTTGCACCGAACAACGTTCTAAACATTTATATCCTAGTATACATCGCATTACTTTGAGATGCTACTAAATATTTCATAAACACTCTCTTGAATTCGTGTGCATAATCAACCACTAATTCCCTATTTTCCATCTTCACTCCACTAGACGCGGCCGGAACAATTTTTCTGCAATAAATAGGAGAAAAACAGTTAAATGGACAAGAACGCATGTCAAATTATCTTTACAAAAGTCGACACGTTTGTGTCAACTAGGATACAAAGATTCGTCAGGTTTCTATCGATTAAATTCATAAAATCGACAAATTTTCAAACATGAAATCAACACGTTCAGATCGACATTGCATATCGGGGATTTTTTTTTCTTCCAATTATGAGAAAACACCACAACCAAGCTAAAAAATTACACTGATTTATACCTCATTTGATGTTTCGTCTCTAGAAACTTCCATATTGGTGTCTTTTGACTCCACAATAGCGAAGATTGTGTAGGGTTTGGGTAGAATTTGAGGGTTTTGATTGGTGAGATTTTTTGTGCATGATAACAAGAAAAAGGTGGTGAGATTTTTTGTGTGTGATAACAAGAAGAAGATGTATAGTAGAAATTTGTGAAGGAGATAAATGGTTTTTTATTTATGTAAGAGTTTTTGATGTTTTCTTCTCTTGAATGTGTGGAGGGTTTTGAAGAACAAAAATACTGTGAAGAAGAAGAAGAAGAAGAAGAAGACACTACAACATTTAAGGCTTTATACGACGAAAAAAAACCGTCGGGAAAAGTGAAAAAACCGTCAGGAACATTATTCGTGACGGTTTTCGACCGTCACAAAACCGTCAAGAAAAAGGCCGTCGTATATACTTCCACGTGTAAAAAAACCGTCAGGAATAATATTTCTCGACGCTATGATAACCGTCGTAAATACTCATACATATTTTCAAAACCGTCGAGAATACATTTCTCGACTGTTGAAAACCGTCGGGAATACTGGTACATATTTTTTCAATATTTTTTTTTTGTAATCAATAAACCTTTACAAAAATTTAACCCCATGCCAAAAATTCGTATAATTTTCCAATATGAATATAAACCCATGCTAAAAATCACTCGGATTTCCCAAAACATGAATTCTTGCTTTCCAAAAATATACAATACCAAACTTCAAAAAATCTATCTTCAAAACAACACTTGAAGTAACCTACACAATACATTTACTTTCAAAGTCTACATATCCATAGTTCAACAAAATGTCCTTGCTCCCATGCTCCAATGTAAAATGTGTTCCTGAACAATCAAAGACGAAAAAAAAGTTAGTGTTCCCGAGTAAGCAAAATTCATGTTTTTAAAGCTTATAAAACTTGTTGTATACAAATTTTTTTGTGCAAAAGACCATGAAATTCTAAAACCCCAGAAAAAGTGGTTCAGCACATATGACAATGAGAACAAGAAAGTCTTTTTGAGATTTTTTCTGATATTCGGCGAAGAATGTTGCAACCCACAATTGCGATGCTAACCTAACCTACAAAATAAGAGACACCAGTGAGCTGCAATGCAAGAACTTGCCCTGGCATTATATCGTAAAAGCTACAGCTTGTACTATATAATATTTATACCGTAAATACATTTAGCAGAAACGAATACCTGGATAGAAGCATATTGTCACTAGCAATCCAATAACTTTACTAGGTGAAACAGGACATTCCGATACAATAGAGCAGGCCCTTTATTGTTGCCAATCTTTGATCTTAATCCCCTAATCTGTAAAGTTCATCATATAGTTTTCAGTGATAAAGTAGCAGTCGGCATAAAAAATTTGAAATCAGATAGCAAGGCTGGATAAAATTAACTCATCATATATTTATGAAAATATATTGAAATGGAGTAAGATATATCAAACCATTCCAACAACTGAACCATGGCAAGTCCTCCCTGCACATAATAAACGTATGTAAAATGAGTTTAATCATTTTTAAGGGTATAATCAACTCAACCATTTATAATTTGAAGCACAGCTAGGAAGAAAAGGGATTCTTAAAAAGGAGAAGTCACCATACCATACCATGTGCTATAGTTAGAGCATTGTATATATAAACATCCAGATACATGTGGAAAATGGAACAAAAAATTTACGAAGCAATCCAACTTTAATTTTTATAAACCGAGCAAATGAGTTTAGAACGACAAGTAGGAAACAGAGTTTATATAATGAACATAATAACAACAAAAGCTAGCGTTGGACCTGACTTAATTGCTTTCGCTCTTCTTGGCCATAAAAAATGCCTATATTTTCTGCCATCCAACAACTACAATAAACAAACAACACAGAGAGAGAAATCTAATGAATTTGATGAAGAAAAAATGAATCTAAAATCTGAATAATCAAGCATAGAGAAACTATTTCTCAGAATGTTAGCTTTCTTGAAATATATTTTTAGCCATAATCAGAAATTAAAAAATTATTGTTCTTGGGAGAGAAACGAAACCGTGTTGATATCCGAAAGGCCTCCTTCTGCAGTACCATGGAGAAAATCTGTTGCCACTAGCTAATGCTATACACGAGAATCTGTTTAGTGTCTGCAAATAATGTACACTTTCCGTAAGTAAAGAGAAGTAACGAAAAAGACATTAGTACGTTAAGTAAGCAGGTGAACTTACAGTGGCTGATACTTTTCCTTTGCTCAACTGAAATGAAGAAACGGAGCTAAATCAGAAGACAAATAGTTCTCAGCATGGTGTATATACTATCCCATTTTTTAGCCGTAACTCCAAATTAATTTGCACATTATCAATGGGATTTTATACCATATTACATGCTTGATACATAGACTTTCTAAACAAATCTCAAACTTGAAGAGTTCAAGATAGGTTTATTTTACCACTTTGGTCTCGGGGAAGATTGCACAAGTATTTCGGTAAACAAATTCTTCGAAAGCATCCTTCAAAACACAATCATTGGTATCATAAGAAAAGTAAGTAAAATAAATTGTCATTGTGCACAAACTGAGAAATTAACAACACTAGTAAACAAAAAAGTTGGAAGAATCAAAAATTGAAACCTATGGAAAATTAGCAAACTGTAATTAAGTAAAATTCTAAAAATCAAGTCATAGATTCTCACAATCTGCAAACTCTTGTTTCAAATCCTAGCTTGACCCCTTAAATTCAAGCAATCAAATTAACCTAAAAATCACTTGTCAGCTTCCTATACTGAATTCCACACGGATGGAATGAGATCAATTAATATAAATGGAAAATAATAACAGAGGAGACTAACCTGTCACGCAATCCACGGGCGATTCAAAACACTTGAAGAGTTGAAAGATTTTCGCCTGTTTCAATTTGTCATCACAATGATTAGTTCGATCCTGAGGGAAGAAATAGCAACAGAGATGTCGGCTCGGCATTTGCGGCAATGGCGGAAGCGGAGGCGGAGGTACGGCGTCGAAGAGAAGTTAATATTCAGAGAAAAGCCCTAATCGAAGGTTAGAGGGAGATTGTATCGGTCTGATTATAAATGAAAAATTGAGAGAAAAAAGTGATGTTAATAATGTTAGAGATTAATAATTTATATATTATATAATTTATTTTTGTTGACGGTTTTTAAGCGTCTGAGAACATTTTTAAAAGCGTCAAGAATTACTTTTACTTGACAGTGTTTATGTGTCAAGATTAGTTTCAAGAGCGTCAAGAAACGCACTTTATACAATGGTTTCGAAACCGTCGGGAATAAAAAACGTCGCAAAAGCCCTAAAATGTTGTAGTGAGAAGAAGAAGAAGAAGAAGAAGAAGAAGAAGAAGAAGAAGAAGAATTTTGAATGTGAAGAGTTAGAGTTGATGTTTTGTGTGTGTGGTCTTCCCCTTAAGAAATTTATGGTCTTTTGTTTTATGATTGTGTGTGGTATTATGTTTCAGACAACACACCCACAAAGTTGCCGAATTGGTCAAAGCATTGTATTTAATTCCAAAGATAAACGAGCTATAAAACATAAAATCTAAGAAAATATGTGGTTTAAGATATTCGAATCCCTTAACTGGCAAGAATAATAGTAAATACACCAAAATTAAGATAATAACTAAAATTCTAGATCAAACACTTGAGCACTTACATCCAGGGTGTTTAGCCGAAAATCCAAGTCAAAAGAAAGTTTCGTTCTAGATTTTCATAAACACAATTCGGGCATAATTTAGTTTAATTTTTTTTTAATGCATAAAATGATCAACTATTTCGAGTATATCTTCATTTTTTCATCACTTCGAGACTTCTTTGAACACAATACAATTAAAATCTATGTAAGGTTCGGTTTTGCCTTGCATTCTTGGTAACCCTTATAGCGAACTTTGGACCAGTAAATCCCGAGCTAGATAGCCCAAGGTACTAGGTGAGAAACGCCCCGAGGATTTAATCGTTCGAGTCACCAAGGCTAGGAGCCAAACTAGATCACAATATTTTATTATTAGCATAATATCTTCGATAAAAGTGTAAACAAGACCATTTCTTTTAGGGTTTATTATGAAAAACCCCCTGAACTTACACTAAATAACAAAAAACACCCTCACCTATCCATAATAACAAAAAAAACCCTGACGTCCCCCTTAAGGTGTGATATTTAACGTTAATCTTTGTTGCGTCTGATGTCCATCACACCATGCTTACAAGAAATCCCACATAAATCCCAAACTTTGCAATCACGTGTCTTGTTTGTCAAAAAAATTCTGTTAAATATCACACCATAGGGGAATCATTGTAAGGCGGAAACAAACATCAGGGGGTTTTTCGTTATTATGGATAGGTGAGGGTGTTTTTCGTTATATAGTATAAGTTCAGGGGGATTTTCATAATAAACCCTTTCTTTTAATAGCCAACGATTAAATTCGCGAAAAATGTAGTTCAATTCTCACTTAATTCTCGAATTTCAAACATTATACCCCTCGGATTCATGTGCTCATGCTCAATCATACAAGAATTCTAAATATTATCAAAACAAGTTGTACAAACTCAAATAAATGCCGACAAGTTCATCTAATTAATTCTCGAATTTCAAACATTATACCCCTCGGATTCATGTGCTCATGCTCAATCATACAAGAATTCTAAATATTATCAAAACAAGTTGTACAAACTCAAATAAATGCCGACAAGTTCATCTAATAATTACCGAACATGTATACTCAAAGATTTTACAATTAACTAACAAATCCATCAATTCATTAAATCTTTTACTTCAATAGAACTCGGAAATGCAACTTAAACTCGATCTTAAATGATATGCATGCTACGGCGAAACATATATACAAAATACCAAAAGAAATACATTATTGAAACTTGTATGATATGCATGAAAAAGACCAAATCCAAAAATAAGGTAAATAAAATCCTAACAATCCAAATTAAAACATAAAAACAGTATAATACATGCTCCAGACTTAAATAAAATGAAAAACGATAAAATCCTAAATTACAAGTTCAAAAATAAAAGCAAAGTCTAACAAACTAGCAAAGTACACCCCCAAACTTAATAAATTGCAGTGTCCAGAATGCAAAAACCATAAGAATAAATAAAAGAGTAGAAAAGTATGACCCCTAGTCAGCCAACTCCTCATCATCAATCCCTCCGTCACCATCTCGATCCGGATAATCCAAACTGATTTAGTCCGTAGGTCTTCGTCTTCCTCAAGCCAGCTCCGTCCGTACTCCGGTGAGGATACCTGCAACGCCGGGAGGGGTTCCCGGCGGGAAAGCTCCGACGATCAAGTCAGTGATCGGAATAAAGGGCAAGACGTGTATGTAATGTAATAGTGATTAGTGTATATTTTTCTAGTGTGTGTGCGTGTGTTGATTCTCTTATTTATAGATGAGGAAAGCTTGACCTTCAAGGCTTTCCTTTTTTAGGGTTTCTCTTTTCCCCCAAGTCATGTATCTTGGGCATGTATTGTCCTGGGCTCGCCTTACCCCGTTTTGGTATTGGGCTGGCGAGTTAAGATACTCCCACGTAGTTCCGAGGTTCGCGCCATACGACGACTTCGCTCATAGTACCGAGCTAAGTCATCATGGGTTCTTCATTACGGGCTTATCATATTGGGCTTACCCTAATGGGCTTATGTTTATTTGTTACTTGTCAAACTAGCCCATATCAACTACTCCCCCCTACTCCTTATTTATAATACGAGTTTGCTCCTTCTTACCTCGTGTTATAAGTACGGAGTACGAGGTGCGAGCTCGGACTTTGGTTCACGTCTGGTTGATGCACGCAACCTTTCCACTTTTCCTCCATTTAATTACTCTGACATCCCGTGTGGTCGATTCGAGTTCCCTAGGTCATCATGGAAAAATTTCAATCAGTGCTTTCAGCGTCGGATTCGAGGCATTCTGCATTGAATCTTGGCCGCCCGAAGAAACAGTTATGATTGACCTTCCCTTTTCCCTAGGTCATTATTGAGGAATTCCAATCGGCGCCTCTTGCATCGGATTCGGGGTGACCTACTTTGAATCTTGTCCATCCGAATAGACGGTCACGATCGAGCTTTCTCCTTTTCCTTCTTCTATAAATACCTGGCCCTTGCCATTTTTTAAGATTTTTCCTTTTTCCACCCTCGTGCTTTCTCTTCTCTTATTACTTCTTCTCCGGCGAACCTGCTTTTCCGAGACAGAGATCTTATCCTTCGTGCCCATTTTCTACCCCGACAAAGGTACTACTTCTTTCCCCCATCTCTTATTACCCCCGCCTTTACTCTTCGAATTGATAATGTCTGCCCGTTCTCCCGATCCTTTCGGCCAAAGGGTGCCCTCCGGGGAGGGGGGTGAAAACCCCGCTTTTTCTATTTCTTCCTCGTCGGAGGAGGGACCCTACTTCTCCCCCTCGGGCAAACTCTTAGAACGGCCCAAGAAGAGGGGCAGAAAAGAGATTTCGTCTTCTGCGAGGAGTGGTTCTCCTTCCTTATCTGAAGGACGGGATCCGGATGACCAGTGGGGACCTAGTACCTTAAGCGAAGTAGATCTAGCTAACTTAGTTCGTGACATAGGCCTCCCTACCGATGTCGAGTTAATTCTGCCTTCGCGAGATGATCGCCCTCTAAACCCTCCTTTAGGCTTTAGTACTTGGTTTTCCGAGCAGTTCTACTTTGGTCTTTCTTTCCCCATCTCGCCTTGGTTCTCTGAAATTGCCCAACTATGTAATGTATCCCTTAACCAATTCCACCCCCATGCCATAATAATCATGACCGGATTTCGCATGCTGTGCGCCTGGTCGGGGGTGATTCCCACACCAGCTCGCTTCCGGAGTGTAATGGTATTAAAGAATTCGAGTCATTTCCATGTCTCTATCTCGGCTCGTCCGGGTTTTAAGATTCTGATGCCACCTAATAAAACCGATGGGTGGCAAGGTCACTATTTCTTTGCCAGAAATCCTGTTGACACGCCCTATTTGTGTCCTTGGCTCGCCACCCTGCCTGAAAAGAAAAGGGGAAAACCTTTGGCGGTTGACGAATGTTTGTTAAAAATGATATCCCACTTTCAACCGAGCCACGGCGTCCCGGATAGCCTCACCAGCTTTCCGCCGATGCTTCGCCACTTCCGTTTTCACGACAACGGCACGTATTCTCTAACTCGGGAAGATTTAGGTGGGTTTGGTTATAACACTAATTCTTACTTCGACTCATTGTCTTACTTCGGTCGGTTTGTTTTTTGTTGCTTTGCTAGTTATGTACTTGTATGTCTTGTTTCTCACCCACTTATCTCCCCTTGCCCGTCTGTTCCGGTGCGTAGATCTAAGGATGAAGAGGATGTTCCGAGGTGACAAGCCGGCTACCCGTCCCTCCGAGCCAGAACCTGGGTTCGAAGCGTCCGAGTTTCAGCGCCCTCTAATCGCTGAATCCGAGAAAAGATCTTCGGAAGAAGGGGCTCTAAGGCCCAGGCCGTCGAAGAAAAGCGCCGCTCCTCCTCGCGCCCGCGGTGGACCTCCCTCGCGAACTGAGGATTCTGAACCTCCTAAACGATCCTCCGCAATAGTTCTCGCCTCGTCACCGCCTCCTTCCTCAACCGAAGAGGTGGTAGAGAGAGAACCTGCTCCGAAGAAACGGAGGTCTGAGTTGGCCCTTGGGGCGGCTGGGTCATCTTTACCGGCCGACTTTGGACTGCACCTCTGCCGGAATGCTGAAAACGCTATTGCTGCTTGCCGGTCCTTGGCATTCCCCAGCGATGTCGCCCACTTCGGGCAAATGAGTAAGGGCGACCGACTTGAGTTGCTTCTTCATAACATTACACAGGTTTGTTTCACTCTGTTCCTGTGAATCGGTCTTTGCCATTGCATCTTGTATTCAAGATTAACTCTATTTAACCTCTTTGTGAGTGCAGCAATTCGCCATCGCCTTTTCGGGTCCCCTGGGGTGGGATAATGTCTCGCGCGAGGCGTATGATAATCAGAAGAAAGAGGTGATTCAGCTCCGGAAGGAAGTCCGGGGCTTGAAGGAGAGTCTGGCGATGTCGGAGTCATCGAAGGAGGGGCTGTTTGCCGAAGTGAAGAGGCTGAACGAGAGAGAGAAGACCCTTGAGGCTGAAAAAGACTCCCTTGTATCCCACAATGCCAGCTTGGAGGAGAAAGCTAAGGGACTTTCCAACGAGCTGTTCGCAGCTGGAGTACAGGCTTCCACTAATTTCACCGAAGGGGTGAAAGAGGG